AATGGGGATGATGACAGGGTATGAAAATTAAAAATATAATTAGTCCGTAACTTAGGTAATAAAAAAATATTAGACACGTATTTTTTTATTTTGTTGTATAATAAAACAATACTTAGATAAAACGAATCAAAGTTTAGGAGTGGGGGCTAAAACGTCATTTCTTAGTATAAAATGTACTGAGAAGTGACGTCACGCGACATTTCAAATCAATATATCTTCGAAACTATTTGTTTCCGTAAGAAAATAAAAAATACGTGTCTAATGTTTTTAAATAATCTACCAGACGGACATTAAAATAAAAATTAGTCGTCTACCCTATTGTATTGTAACTTTCGTAAGACATACTAAATAAATTATTATGTTTTCGGCTTACTCACGTTGTAATTCAACGAGGAACTCGACTAGTTTCAAGCCATGCTAGAGGCTCATATTCATGAGCAGCATTTCGCGACCCGTGACGCGGCGACTGTCTATTGAGAGTAGCAGCGCGATTATTTAAATATGATAATGTTTGCAGCTTCACGTCAGACGAGTGCATACATTGGAGCGACCGTTTGTATGCGACGACTGTGGCGCCTCCTACCACAGCCGACGATGTCTCGTTCAACATATCGACTGCCATCGCCCCGTCACTATATCACAGGTACGACAAACTTAAAATAAGGCTTTAAACATTTAGTTCTCGTCTGCCTCGTTAGCCAAGTGATCGCAAGTGCGACTGACGGGCAAGGGGTCTTTGGTTCGATTCCCGGGTCGGGCAAAGTATTACTGGGTTTTTAAAGGTCTCAGTAGTAGCACGTAGTCTGGAATTGTGCGGTAGGTATATGGCAATAGGCTCACCCCCTATTACATGGGACTCATAACATAAATAGTGAAAAGTGGGTGTTACATTGTACAGTGGCAATAAGTGGCGTAATGTGCATCTCTGCATACCACTTCGGGGATAAAAGGCGTGACTGACTAAAAACCACCCTGTTCCTACTCCTGCACTTTGAGGCGGAGCCTCGGTCATCCGTTAAGTCTTCCGCGGCTTCGTATCGGCATCAGCCCTATTGGGCCCCATCCGTGGTGGTCTGATGACTCATTGTGCTCATTGTCCGTGCTTAAGGTGGCCGGAGATCGTCTCGTGATCCCTGCCACTCGGATGTCTCTAGCGACGGCTGGGGCGTGAGGAGGTTCGTTCTCTCACGCGCTCCGCCTTCTCCTTAGCTAGCATGACTGATTCGCAGAAGGAGGATACGGCATCCCAGTCCCTCTCGCTCCTTACCATGATACGAACCAGAGCCGGACGCGAGAGGTCGCTGCTGCCCCATTATGCCCTTTTTTATTAAGGGGGGAAAATCATCGAATGACTGCCCCCGCCTGGGTGAGGCGGGAGGGAGTGTCAGACTCTTACTGACTAAAAACCACCCCGTTCCTACTCCTGCACGTCGAGCCGGAGCCCCGGTTACCCGTTATGCCCTCGGAATTCCTTTTTTTTAATTGATTTGATCATGTTTTAAAATTAATTAATCAATTATATCAGTGTAATGACGTTTGGTTGCAGTGTGGAGACTGTCCGAAATCATTTAAGACTCCTCTACAGCTGACAAGACATCGCTGGAGATGTCACAAACGAAACTCGACCGTTGCTACAGATTTAAAATAGGGAACAACAGCGCAAGCTGACGTAACTATGTGACCATCATTGCTTACCATCAGGCGAGATGGTGATCACATGTCGGCCCATTAAATACACAGGGTGGAATGTTGTAATGCCAGCTGAAGGGCAAGTACTCTTAATACTTAAGATAGAAAATTTTACTCAAAGAAAACATTCCTTTATTTTTGACAAGAAAGAAATCTGCATCATCATATCTAAAATGCAAAAGCGGTGCGTAAGAGCCATGTTCCGTAAACAGAGTTCGGAGAGATGGAGGCCATTATTTATAACGCACTAGCTTTTACCCGCGGCTTTGCTCGCGTCACAAAAGGATAAAAAGTAGCCTATGTGACATACCAATACACACAGCGCCATCTATACCAATACTTTTGTTTTCCCACGGGAATATCAAATTTTTTCTGGTTAAAAATGTGATATTCCCGAGGGAAAACAAATGAGTTTGTTTGTTTGTTTGTTCTGCTTTCACACCGTAACTACTAAACCGATTGCTTTGAATTTTTGCAGACGTAAAGTTAGAAGTCCGGATTAAATAATAGGGTACTTTTTATCCCGGAAAAATTTGATATTCCCGCGGGAAAACTAAAGTATTGGTATAGATGGCGCTGTATTTATTGGTATATGTCACATAGGCTACTTTTATCCTTTTGTGACGCGAGCGAAGCCGCGGGTAAAAGCTAGTGCGTTATAAATAATGGCCTCCATCTCTCCGAACTCTGTTTACGGAACATGGCTCTTACGCACCGCTTTTGCACTTTAAATATGATGATGCAGATTTCTTTCTTGTCAAAAATAATGGAATGTTTTCTTTGAGTGATACAGTGAAACCTGGTTAAGTGAGACATCAAGGGACCTGCAATGCCGTTTCACTTATAGAGGTATTCCACTTACCCAGTGTCTCAGATATACAGGTATAAATAAATATCTGTCTCATTTACAGAGGGTTCCATTAATAGAGGTGGACTTAGACTTACGTATGGAATTTGTGGGTAGAATAAGAATGAGTAAACAAACAATGTTATCTCAGTTACAGAGGTTTATGCATATAAAATTTACTCGCTGTCTCAGTTATAGAGGTAACTATGATGATAAATCGAAAGAACAAATCCCAGATATAGAGTTTACCTCGTCCCACTAACAGAGGGGTCTGGAAATGTGCCCGGTATATGGCAATAGGCTCACCCCCTATTACATGGGACTCATAACATAAATAGTGAAAAGTAGGTGTTACATTGTACAGTGGCATTAAGGGCCGAAATGTGCACCACTGCCTACCCCATCGGGGATAAAAAGGCGTGATGTTATGTTATGTTAATACCAAATAAGATAAAAATTATTAACACGTCTAAGTATTAGGGCCTTTTGTGAATTGACCAGGCTTAGACAAATATGCTTGATGGTAGTGCAGAATGCAGATTGACTTTTTCCATTATAAACTTGACAGTAAAAGTGTTAAGCTATTAAAGTAATATCTTTATAAACAAATGCAAAAGTAGATCATTCCTGGCTTCTACCCATGAACTACACTCTAAATAGAGTGAGAAAGAGAGCGGGAGTGTCACCACGCGTGGAGGATTCGAGGAAACTTAGGTCTTTTTTTTAAGGGGGGAAAATCATCGAATGACTGCTCCCGCCTGGGTGAGGCGGGAGGGAGTGTCAGACTCTTACTGACTAGAACCCACCCCGTTCCTTCTCCCGCATGTCAAGCCGGAGCCCCGGTAACCCGTTAGGTTCTCCGCGACAGGAAATTCCCCAATCTCCCCAAACCCTGAATCCCCAACGATCCTCAAAATCGTAACGTACTTGTAACGCCTCCGGTGTTCCAGGTGTCTATGGGCGACGCCAATTGCTTACCATCAGGTGATCCGTCTGCTCGTTTACCAACTTATGCCATAAAAAAAGTTTATATTGAAATTATAAGCCCAGGTTTCTTCACGATGATTTCCGTCACGGTTTGTCATCATTTTTGAGTGTGTTTTTAAACAATATCTTTTCGTATTAAGTCCTCTTACCTCACGACATACTATAAATACATTTAGTTGCACAATTTTTTGCTTACGCCTTCAGCGAAAAAAACGCGAAGTCGAAACAAAATAAACAATATAATATTTACATAGAACTTGACAATTCCACATACACATAACACATTTTGTGTCGAGTTTAACTTGTCTGTTTGTTCTAAGTACAATGCAAAGCTTTACTTGTAATGTACTTGCGTACATTTTAATGGAAAATTAACAATTTTTACACTGAAAACAATGTACCAAGGTACAGATTGTATACGTAAGGTCAACATTCATTTGACGTCACAATATTTTATCCTTTGACTGTCTGTGGTTTGTTGCGGAAAAGGAATTAGACTGAAAAGTAGGGCGACATAAATATGCTACACTACAGACCGTACTATTTAGTATTGTATTAATAGTCGTATAAATATATTTACATATATAGAGATATAATTATTTTAAAAAAGCGAATCTTAATTGTCGTTTTGGTATTGGACTGTCACTACTGATTAAAGTGGGAAGCGAAGTTACTGAAACGATTGCGAGTCATATAATCATGGTAATAATTAAAATCTATCTATCTACCTTATTCCTTTAAACATGCAATTCTTATATATCTTTATATGTATATAATAGCACCGATCTCGTAAACGGCTCCATCGATTTTATTGAAATTTTGTACATACGATAAATCGATCTAGCTCAGTTTCATTTTCAGAAAGTCTTATTTTGTCCGTGTTTTCATTGAATACAAACCTCCTATAATGTTATTAAAATACGTAAATTAAAATTTGTTTTGTAAACTCTTTAAATAGCTTTATCAGGAAATCGGGACAACTTGTGCCTTGAGCAGGACATTCGGGTCCAATCGTTGGCCTTAATGTGTCTTTTATTTTTTTGTTTTATCTTTTGACCTATTTTTCTTTTAATTTTTCCAAAAAAAAAATATAGGTATATATAAATATATACTAAAAAGAAAAACCACTGAGCAAAGATTAGTCACCCAGGTACTAAGAATAATAATGTTAATCAATGAGAATGGTTTGATGTTTTGTTATCAGGTGGTGGTCGGTAGTGAAGTAGGCGTGATGAAGACGCCTCTAGTTGGTCCCCGGCCGTATAACGCGCTGGCGATCATCCACACCCAGCAGAGCAACACCTTCGATATGCTCAACTCTCTTACCACCAGTGTCGTGAGTATTATTTATTGTTCCGCTGAAGGACGTTGAAAAAATGCGGACACAGTCCCTAGGGGGCCCCAGCGAATAGAGCCCATACCCTGATCAAAATCCGTTTTGTAGATTCAGCTTGATTGACGGACAAACATCCAAACAAAGAAACTTTCACTAATTAGTGTGCTGCCTCTCGAAAGGAATCCAACTCGAATCTTATGAAGAGTTAGCTAACGACTTACAATTTTTGTATACGGAATTAAGCAGCCTGTACCTCACGACACAAGGAATTCCAGAGTGAGGTGGACCTCATTTTTTTCTGAAATAAATGTTGTTCTTATTCTTCATTATGTTTTATGTTATCTATTTAGAGATACACTGTTCATTCTCATAATATTTGTATAGAACAGGAGTTGAACAACAGTAAATGGTTTATCTTAATAATGTCATGAGAAGTTTACTGAAATAAATGGTTACGTTTATGTCCCAGCATGCCTTTAACCGTCCAGTTTATTGTTGTAATCTTTTTAACTGTTTATTTTATTGCTACACGTGGCCGCTTGTAGTAAACGATCGTAGAAAATAGACGTTAAATTGATTGTGTAAAAATGTTCAGCATTTGAGCTATATTTTTTACATTAGCCGGCAAACGACCCGTCTGGTCGCCTGATGGTAAGCAATCGGCGCCGACCATAGATACTCTAAACATTAGAGTTACAAGTACGTTGCCGGCCTTTTGGGGTTAGGAATTTGGGGAGGGGGATCGGGCTTCCGGTAACCTCGCTCACACGGCGAAGAAACAACGCTTGCGTTGTGTCTTTACCTAATTACGTCGATTTTTACGTCACGTCAGTTTATTTTATCTTATTGAACACTTCAAAGTAGCGTTGCCACCCCTTATAGTGATCAAGTACATCAGACGGATCTGAATTGTTAAGGTTTAATGTTTTGTTTTGCTTTCTGACTTGTATACCAGTACAGTGAAACCTGGTTAAGTGAGACATCAAGGGAACTGCAATGTCGTTTCACTTATAGAGGTATTCCACTTACCCAGTGTCTCAGATATACAGGTATAAATAAATATCTGTCTCATTTACAGAGGGTTCCATTAATAGAGGTGGACTTGGAATTACGTATGGAATTTGTGGGTAGAATAAGAATGAGTAAACAAACAATGTTATCTCAGTTACAGAGGTTTATGCATATAAAATTTACTCGCTGTCTCAGTTATAGAGGTAACTATGATGATAAATCGAAATAACAAATTCCAGATATAGAGTTTACCTCGTCCCATTATCAGAGGTAATTCAGTGCCAAAGTGTTGGGACCTCAGTATGAGTTCCAGTTATGGAGGTTTCTCACTTATCCAGGTCCCACTTAACCGAGTTTCACTGTATCTTCTATCTAAAGTATTAAGAGTACTTACCCTTCAGGTGGCATTACAACATTCCACCTTGTATATAAAAAAACTATTTGACGAGCTTATTTGTCTAGTTACAAGCCATACTAGGGGACCACAATCAAGAGTATGTAGTCTCATAGACAGAAACTCATTATTTATTAACTTCCATCATTTTTATGGAAATAAAATAAAAATTAAAAAGAAAATAATGTTTTTTATTTTCCCCTCATCATCATGATCATCATCATATCAGCCACAGGACGTCCACTGCCGAACATAGGCCTCCCCCAATGACTTCTAGATAGGCCGGTTGGAAGCGACCTGCAATCAGCGGCTCCCTTTTTTTGTGGTGGTAAAATCATCCTATGGTTTCTCCTGTCCGGGTTAGGCGGGAGGGAGTGTCAGACTTTTACTGACTAAAAACCACCCCGTTCCTTCTCCTGCACGTCGAGCCGGAGCTCCGGCAATCCGTTAAGTCTTCAGCGGCTCCGTATCGGCATCAGCCCTATTGGGCCCCATCTGTGGTGGTCTGATAGCTCCTTGAGGCGCGCGCGGAACGCGAAGCGCCGTACGCTCGGGCCTGGTTCTGGTCGGGCGGCGAGTCACCCTTGCGCGCCGCCCACAGATTCAGCGGTTCCCTGCGACCTTAATGAGGTCGTCTGTCAACCTTGCGGATAGACGTCCTACGCTGCGCTTGCCGGTACGTGGCCTTCACTCGAGAACCTTTATGTTCCAGCAGCCGTCGGTATTCCCCACATATCTAGTTCGTTTGCTCTCCGTCATTTGAGAGTAGAAAACTGAATGAATGGGTTGCTTATCAGAATCAGAATCAGAATCAGAATATTTTTATTTGTAAACCTATGTTTACATACCTATGTATGTGAGGTGTTACAGGTAGGTAGATTCTCCATGTTTTGCCCAGAGGCGTACAAATTATATAAAATTATATATAATCAAAATTAAAATTATGTAACGGCGCTCCATCGTAGGCCACGTGATGACGGCCTACGATGGAGCACAAGGCACGATGAAGGTGCACGATGGTGTACCACCAGCTGACATAGTCGACAAATGATGACACTACAGACAAAAAGCATCAGTTGATGTCCATGACGAACATTGGGGGTGTAAGGCGCATGCCAGGAGATGAGTAAAACGATCAAATGATGAATTAAGACTGCCTTTATTATAATAATAAATTGGGTTATATAGGAAAGGATTACACGTGTATGTATACTTATTACTACCACACCTTAGGTACTACTACAGGGGAATAAATAACGCAGGCGAGTGTGCTGAAAATCATTATCTTTATTAATAAATCAGATTTGCTTAATTATTTATTTTTACACATTATTACATACGCTAACACAATATAATATGTTTAATACGGTAGTTGCCTGAATTTTATTTTAATGTCCGTCTGATAGATTAATTTAAACTGTCAAACACCAAGCGGTCACCGGTGACCGCAACCTATTATTCTATAATTGTGTCTACAAAACCGGTACTCGACAAGTTAAAACATTAGACACGTATTTTTTCTTTTCTCACCTATATTTAATCTGAAATATTGTGTGACGTCACAATGCGCTACATTTTGTAGCACTTTGTGACGTAACGACCTCCCACTCCTAAACTTAACGCCATTTTATCTAAGTATTGTAACTGTATACGAGAAAATAAAAAAATACGTGTCTAATATTTTTTCATGATCTAACTGACGGACTAATTACATTTTTAATTTTCATTCCCTGGCAACTACCCTATTACATTTAAATATACATACATTCTATATAATTTTTGTTTATGGCATGAGCCGGTAAACGAGCAGACGGATCACCTGATGGTAAGTAATCGGCGTCGCCCATGGACACCTGGAACACCGAGGCGTTACAATTGTGTTACCGGCCTTTTGGGATTAGGAGTTTGAGGAT